ACAACATCACCAACCTAGATATCAAGCATCTCCAACATCACCAACCTAGATATCAAACATCTACAACATCACCAACCTATACATCAAACATCTACAACATCACCAACCTATACATCAAACATCTACAACATCACCAACCTAGATATCAAACATCTACAACATCACCAACCTATACATCAAACATCTACAACATCACCAACCTAGATATCAAACATCTACAACATCACCAACCTAGATATCAAACATCTCCAACATCACCAACCTATACATCAAACATCTACAACATCACCAACCTAGATATCAAGCATCTCCAACATCACCAACCTAGATATCAAACATCTACAACATCACCAACCTATACATCAAACATCTACAACATCACCAACCTAGATATTAAACATCTACAACATCACCAACCTATACATCAAACATCTACAACATCACCAACCTAGATATCAAGCATCTCCAACATCACCAACCTATACATCAAACATCTACAACATCACCAACCTAGATATCAAGCATCTCCAACATCACCAACCTATACATCAAACATCTACAACATCACCAACCTATACATCAAACATCTACAACATCACCAACCTATACATCAAACATCTCCAACATCACCAACCTATACATCAAACATCTACAACATCACCAACCTAGATATCAAACATCTACAACATCACCAACCTAGATATCAAACATCTACAACATCACCAACCTAGATATCAAACATCTACAACATCACCAACCTAGATATCAAACATCTACAACATCACCAACCTAGATATCAAGCATCTCCAACATCACCAACCTATACATCAAACATCTCCAACATCACCAACCTATACATCAAACATCTACAACATCACCAACCTAGATATCAAACATCTCCAACATCACCAACCTAGATATCAAACATCTCCAACATCACCAACCTATACATCAAACATCTACAACATCACCAACCTATACATCAAACATCTACAACATCACCAATCTAGATATCAAACATCTACAACATCACCAACCTATACATCAAACATCTCCAACATCACCAACCTATACATCAAACATCTACAACATCACCAACCTAGATATCAAACATCTACAACATCACCAACCTAGATATCAAACATCTACAACATCACCAACCTAGATATCAAACATCTACAACATCACCAACCTAGATATCAAACATCTACAACATCACCAACCTATACATCAAGCATCTCCAACATCACCAACCTATACATCAAACATCTCCAACATCACCAACCTATACATCAAACATCTACAACATCACCAACCTAGATATCAAGCATCTCCAACATCACCAACCTAGATATCAAACATCTACAACATCACCAACCTATACATCAAACATCTACAACATCACCAACCTATACATCAAACATCTACAACATCACCAACCTAGATATCAAACATCTACAACATCACCAACCTATACATCAAACATCTACAACATCACCAACCTAGATATCAAACATCTACAACATCACCAACCTAGATATCAAACATCTCCAACATCACCAACCTATACATCAAACATCTACAACATCACCAACCTAGATATCAAGCATCTCCAACATCACCAACCTAGATATCAAACATCTACAACATCACCAACCTATACATCAAACATCTACAACATCACCAACCTAGATATTAAACATCTACAACATCACCAACCTATACATCAAACATCTACAACATCACCAACCTAGATATCAAGCATCTCCAACATCACCAACCTAGATATCAAACATCTACAACATCACCAACCTAGATATCAAGCATCTCCAACATCACCAACCTATACATCAAACATCTACAACATCACCAACCTATACATCAAACATCTACAACATCACCAACCTATACATCAAACATCTCCAACATCACCAACCTATACATCAAACATCTACAACATCACCAACCTATACATCAAACATCTACAACATCACCAACCTATACATCAAACATCTACAACATCACCAACCTATACATCAAGCATCTCCAACATCACCAACCTATACATCAAACATCTACAACATCACCAACCTAGATATCAAACATCTCCAACATCACCAACCTAGATATCAAACATCTACAACATCACCAACCTAGATATTAAACATCTCCAACATCACCAACCTAGATATCAAACATCTCCAACATCACCAACCTAGATATCAAACATCTCCAACATCACCAACCTAGATATCAAACATCTCAAACATCACCAACCTAGATATCAAACATCTACAACATCACCAACCTAGATATCAAACATCTACAACATCACCAACCTAGATATCAAACATCTACAACATCACCAACCTATACATCAAGCATCTCCAACATCACCAACCTAGATATCAAACATCTCCAACATCACCAACCTAGATATCAAGCATCTCCAACATCACCAACCTAGATATCAAACATCTCCAACATCACCAACCTATACATCAAACATCTACAACATCACCAACCTAGATATCAAGCATCTCCAACATCACCAACCTAGATATCAAACATCTACAACATCACCAACCTATACATCAAACATCTACAACATCACCAACCTAGATATTAAACATCTACAACATCACCAACCTATACATCAAACATCTACAACATCACCAACCTAGATATCAAGCATCTCCAACATCACCAACCTATACATCAAACATCTACAACATCACCAACCTAGATATCAAGCATCTCCAACATCACCAACCTATACATCAAACATCTACAACATCACCAACCTATACATCAAACATCTACAACATCACCAACCTATACATCAAACATCTCCAACATCACCAACCTATACATCAAACATCTACAACATCACCAACCTATACATCAAACATCTACAACATCACCAACCTATACATCAAACATCTACAACATCACCAACCTATACATCAAGCATCTCCAACATCACCAACCTATACATCAAACATCTACAACATCACCAACCTAGATATCAAACATCTCCAACATCACCAACCTAGATATCAAACATCTACAACATCACCAACCTAGATATTAAACATCTCCAACATCACCAACCTAGATATCAAACATCTCCAACATCACCAACCTAGATATCAAACATCTCCAACATCACCAACCTAGATATCAAACATCTCAAACATCACCAACCTAGATATCAAACATCTACAACATCACCAACCTAGATATCAAACATCTACAACATCACCAACCTAGATATCAAACATCTACAACATCACCAACCTATACATCAAGCATCTCCAACATCACCAACCTAGATATCAAACATCTCCAACATCACCAACCTAGATATCAAGCATCTCCAACATCACCAACCTAGATATCAAACATCTACAACATCACCAACCTAGATATCAAACATCTCCAACATCACCAACCTAGATATCAAAAATCTACAACATCACCAACCTAGATATTAAACATCTCCAACATCACCAACCTAGATATCAAACATCTACAACATCACCAACCTAGATATCAAACATCTACAACATCACCAACCTATACATCAAACATCTCCAACATCACCAACCTATACATCAAACATCTCCAACATCACCAACCTATACATCAAACATCTCCAACATCACCAACCTAGATATCAAGCATCTACAACATCACCAACCTATACATCAATCTACAACATCAATAACCTATACATCAAACATCTACAACATCACCAACCTATACATCAAACATCTCCAACATCACCAACCTAGATATCAAACATCTACAACATCACCAACCTAGATATCAAACATCTACAACATCACCAACCTACTCGTACACCACTAGAAACAACCGCATACCACACCCCTCACATAACCACCATAATTATCAACACGTATTTTCAACCACCGTATTTATGAAATGCCCCCCCCCCTCCCCCACCAACCGTCCCATAACCCTCGCATATCGTTGGATATCTAGTGAGCAGTTAACAAAGAAAACCTATCTATATTTAAAAATTTTAAATCAACTTTACCAGTGTATCGATCCCATGATTTTTCTGACCTCACCTTGTGAGGGGGATGGGTGCAGTTTGTGAGGGGGGGGGGCAACACCTGGCAAGCCTAGCCTCAGCTGATCTAGTATTTTCGTGGCTCAGCTAATCAGAAGTGTGCGCCTTCTGCCAGTTGCCGTCACGAGACTTGCAGACGACATTCGAACACACATTTTTTAATCAGCTCTCGTCTGCTGCTTCACACAAACGGATGTGATTTGTGGTCTCTTGTTGGAACAATAACATTCGTGGTGTGTATGTGGTTAACATCACACATGTGTTGATACTATTTATAGTGTTGAGTGACAAAATCTAACGTGTGAGTTATTATTAGAATAATTCGTTCACAAATAGTTTGTACGCCCGTACGTCAAAAGCTTTTGTAAAGAAGTAAATCAAAGCATTTAACAGAAAATTTAGAATAATTAGTTAGTGGCAGTACATAAGTGATAACAAAAAATTTGCGAAAGTCGAGTACAGATATGTAAATCGGATCACTGTTTCTCTCAATTTTACAGTAAAAAAAGGCTATTTTAGTTATTTGGGTAAATATTTTGATCGTAGCGTTTTCAGACATTTTTTTCCTATTTGTGAATCCGAGTTGATCGGATGATGAACCAAAGCTACATGTAGTGGAGAGAGAGGGCCTGTGTTGAAATCGCCCCGGAGAAACAGTCAAGATTCTAATTACCGACAACACCGTGTTTATCGAATTTTGCCAACAGCTTGCGGTATTCAAATTTGAATCGCATTCACGGCATTCGAAACTAGAAACATAACAATCAATAACTGCTAACCCGGCGTAATGAAACGGGATGTGACGTCAAATCGACGTCTGCGTTGGGGCTGGCCAAAGGTATGCGGGTATTGAGTTTCCTAAGCTTATTATATTTATGTTTTGGTCGGCGTAGGCTTGTGAGCTTGAGCCACACTAACCGATATATTGGACTATCAGATTTCGTTCATTAGATCATAATTGTCTCCGCTTTAATATATTTGTGTCGTATCCTTTCATGTTTTGGACGCGATAGTTTGTTTTACAGCGTTGGTTTAGCTAGTTAATCTACATTACCGAAACGTACCAACATTAGACTTACAGTAGCAAGGTTATGTTTAAATTACGAACCGCTCTCTTCCGCATATAGACATAGGTATAACGCGTAAAAGTAGAATAACACATAAAGTAATTAGTTGTAGCGTGTTAACTACCGTGTGTTAGATGTATGAAATGTGAATGTGTTTGAACAACATAATGATTATTTAATATACAATTCGCGTTTCTATTTTAGTAAGAGTGCATATAGTGAAACAAAAACTCTGTACCTAGTGCAGTGCCTGACTTTAGGAACTGTGTTGTTTTATAATGCGCTAGAAGTGGACGTGTGAGGGGATATCAACATTTGTCCAAGATGGCGGACATATACCACGATGACGCCGCTGCTATACGGAGCTACCTTAAGCTCTCAGACGATGAGAACGTCATCACCAAGGAAAGATTCACAGAACTTTTCAGAGATCTCAGTATGACGTCATTGGAGCTAGACGCCATTTTTGACGCCCTCGACACTGACGCAGATGACGCAATATCTTTGGACGACCTACTAAAACACTACAACCGACCGGTCCTATTTGCCGGAAAAAGTGCGGACTTGACCTCTGAGAGCGTTGACTCAGGAGAGACGCGGACCAGGCGACTCTCCCTTGCCAGTTCTGAGATTTTGGACTCTATTGGCGACGACGAGGCTCCGGAGAGCTGGGACCTGTCGAGGAACCAGCTGAGCCCGTACACCGAGGAGCCGGTCCGACGGCCGAGAAGCCGCGAGTCCAGGCACCGGAACCTGGCTATCACGCCGAGCGACGATTCTGGTAACTATGGCGACAGCTCGGCCACAAACACCCCCTGTGAGGAGGACTCTCTGTATTCCTTCATTCTCACCCAGTCGGACGTCGAGGTGACCGACTGCCTGAAGCAAGACAATCGCCGCAGTCCGGTACAGCCGGACAAAGAGCGGCTGTCGCTCAACTTTGCCAGCCAGAGGAGGCGTGGTCTCAGGTCGCCCAGCGACAAGAGGCTGGCGTCAGACAACAGTATGGCGTCATCCGATGACGCCTCGCCCAACGGTCGTACCCCTCGACCTGGCTCCGATAGTCCCAGGCTATCACGGGTCAAGACCCCGACCCCCGCCACTAAACAAGACAAACCGGAAATGCCCGAGGCAGAGCTGGGATTTTTGTCCCCATCCAGGTGTGTATACTGTGTGAATGTTGTTAGGTGCAGGGGTGTACTGGGCCGCCGGAACACCGGGCCGGTGGTCCGTCAGGAATGGTGCTGCAATAGGCTTTGATTAAAAACGTTTTGTTGGTAAACTAACCCCCAGCCCTGGTGCATACTTTACAACAAATACGGTTTATTAACACAACTATTGCGTGGCAAATCCTTAGCACTAACTTAAATTTGATTTTACATCTATGACATAGGCTTAGCAATAGTAACTAACAATGTGTCATGATCTATTTCTTTACATGCGGTTTTCGTTTATTTAATGGCTTTGGAGTCAATCAATTTTTTACTTTCTCGTGTATACGAAGTATAGAGAAAGTCTTGTAATCGTGCAAAAAAAAAAAAATCGAGATTTTTACAAATCTCGACGTTTTACACCTCACTGATACGGAAAAACATAATTTTGCAATCTTGTCCGTATGTCTGTGTGTCTGTCTGTGTGTCTGTGTGTCTGTCTGTCCGTGTGTAAACACGATAACTTGAGTACCGTTACAGCTACGTTGATGAAATTTCATATATAAGTATTTTATCAAAATCGTAGATCCGTATCAACTTTTGAGCGATTTCCGATAACCGGAAGTGGTACTTTTCCTACTTTGAATTTTTCAAAAGCCTATAACTTGAGTACTATTTCAGATAGACAAATGAAATTTCAAATGTAAGTAAAAGATCTAATTCTCTACCTTCTGTTAAATTTTGAGTAATTTCCGTTGACTGGAAGTAGTAATTTACGCTACTTCCGATTTCTCAAAAAACTAATGTAAATTTTAAAAGTACTAATAATATTGCGCACCATAATGCGCTTTTTTATTTGGCGTTCACTTGGTGTGCAATTAATTTGTCTACGAGATTTTATTCTATTTTTAAAACTTTAAGTATTTAAAATGGATTAAAAATCATGTCTATAGCCCGAGTTCCCATCCCCTGTTATTTTATATAAGAATATTCGAGAAAGTTTAGGGGAGATCACTCCCGGTTTATTTTTCATTTGTCACTTGAACGTATGTTACACATTTGTGTATTTTACTCCGTTACGCTTTTTTTCCCTTGTTGTAACGAATTTTATAAATCAGATAATCCTTAATCAGATAATCCCAACACTAATAATTAAGAACGAAGAAGAAGAAGATAATCCTTGTCCTGTTTGATTTGATTACATGTCCGAACTTTGTCCGAAAATTTTGCCATGCAAAGTGGAGTCAAGAGATTAAGTTTTGTTTGTTATTTCCCAAAATATGTATTCTGTAATGTTGCTTTTTATCATATTGAAATTGATAGGCCACTTATTTATTTTTAATTTTGTTGTATTATGTAGGCCTGAATGCGTTTTTAATTAAAGTTCATTTACTAATGAAAATTTTCTTAATTAGTTCTAATATCATCTGAGACTAATGTAGTGTAGAAATCATAGTTTTTTCAGAGCAGCCAAATAGAAGTATTGTTAGTCTAACACACTATGTAATCTGAATAAAACCATGTCTACACACAACTAACCCATAAAATGACTCGAACAAAAACACAAAGTAACTGAAAATAGCCAAAGTTCGCTCTATTGTTATTGTCCCACAGAGTTCTGTAACAACAGATAGATCTAGATTTAGGTCTAGACCTACAACTTTTTTTTTAAACACCACTGACCGATTTTCCCAGGATTTATTTGATTGCGTCACGTGAAAGAGACAGGTGTATATACAAAGGTCGGAGGTCAGCACGACTTGGGTATTACGGAGCGGGCCTTTAATTTAATGTATGGCATTCTAGTGGGTCAAGTTACAAGAAACAGGATGTTGGTTTCTCTCCAAGCTGCTAATTTTATTAACACGTTTTTCTTAACTCAGCTTCGCGTTTGTTTGTTTGTTTGGATGTTTGTTGTTAAAATTGACATCGAAAATTAGCCCACTTCTGATTGCTCTATAGACCTGAAATTTGGCATGCATGCTACTTTCGCCTAACAATTTCAGATGCAATCATAAAAACTAGCAATTAGTGACCGTAATTAGCTTAATTTAATTACGCCCCAAGGACCATAAAATTGAGGACATGATTTCTAAAGATACCGACAAGACTGGAGGCCTATTGACCCAGTTACTTCGGCCCCAATCGATGTGAGCGCGCTGGCCTTGATCGTATAGTGGTTAGTACTTAGCGTTGTGGCCGCGACAACCCAGGTTTGAATCCTGGTCGCTCAAGTTTTTATTAGTCCGTGTATTTATAAACACTTTTTTAAAAACCACGTTTTTCATGTGTAGCAACGGACTAAAAAGGAGAAAATAAAATACTTAAAAAAAACTTTTTAAAAAACCACGTTTTTCTTGTGGACTAAAAAGTAGAAAATAAAATTTTCTTTTGTGCTTCCTCGAGCTGTGCAGGTTCTTGTGATGACTGACAAAAAACGTGGGTCGGGCAGATGGGTCGGGAAATTTGATGGTGAACGTACCCACGTTTTTTGTCAGTCATCACAAGAACCTGCACAGCTCGAGGAAGCACAAAAGAAAATTTTATTTTCTACTTTTTAGTTCACAAGAAAAACGTGGTTTTTTAAAAAGTTTTTTTTAAGTATTTTATTATTTTTGTTCTTAATTTTTAGTCTGTGCTATGAAAACAATATCCGCCCATGAGAAATACAGAATCTATTTATGTTTTATAAGAAACATCAAACATACACACAAAAAAAAGACCCGGGGGGGGGGAGGCTATTAAACTCCCGGAATCCATTTTTCAACCCTGTGTATGAAAAAATAATCAGAAACTTCCTATAAGCCTAGATCTACTTGATTGATGAAGAAGTAGGCTTACAAGTAATGTGACAACTTAAAGACACCGCTCACTCATGTAAATTTTCAAGTACTCGGTCTCCAGCTGAAAAATAAACAACCTTTTCCACTATGTGCCATAATTATAATACACTAGATCTATATGTATGGTACACATACCATATGGAAGCTACAACTAATCTTCAATCTTCAGCTTTTAGGGGGTTAATAATGGCATCAAAGATTTTTTTTAAACAGTCATGTATTTCAAGCAGTTAAAACAGACACAAATCGATACAGACTATTTCTCAATTACTAATATTTGTTGATCTATTTCTGTACTGCAAATTCTGTATCCCCAGCCAAGAGCAAGTTTGTGAACTGTACCAAAACTTACATAGTGTTGACAAACCGGAACTAGTATCACAGTTTGAGAGTATTCTGTTGAACGTTATCAACGACGTACGACAATACCAACTCGAAAATGAACGACTTGAAAAAACGTACAGAAGGTAAAATTAAGGATGATAATTAACTAAGCGAAATTTTATTTTATTAAGTCATTCTAGACTAATCCTGCTATAATGGATAATTTAATTTTTGTATGTTACAAAATCGACATGGGCTGAATTTAAGATAGAAAAAAGCCAAATTCAAATTCGCACTATAAAGTGGCCGAATATTCTTTTTTAAACATTGAATTTAAAACTAAAGCAGTCACTTGCTGATGATAGGTATAATATTTTATTTTAATTAATTTTATTCAGAGTCTGAGCAACTGAAATCATATCTTGTATTAGCACCGGTTTTTTTTTTAAATTAATAATTAAAGATCACAAATTTTAAAAAGTCTCATATTTCCAGAGAGAAAGATGAACATGACAAACATTTACGTAGACTGGAGGAGGAAATGGAACAGCAAGTTCAGAGTGTGGAGGAGCGGGTTCGGAAACAGGTAATCTAATACAAAGTTTCACAACTGACAACAGGTAATCTAATACAAAGTCTCACAACTGACAACAGGTAATCTAATACAAAGTTTCACAACTGACAACTGGTAATCTAATACAAAGTTTCACAACTGACAACAGGTAATCTAATTCAAAGTTTCACAACTGACAACTTTATTAAAATTAGCAATTTATGGGGGAAAAATTCTGTAGTCCTTTTTAAAAAGAAAAAAATTAATACAGATACAGATTTAGGTCTACCTGTTGTGTTAAAATTTATGGAAACAGTCTCTATATATAGAAATGATGTATTGCTTATTTAGATCTAGGTCTATGAGGTGATGTCACAAGGCAGGGGCCGAAGGGGGGGGGGTGCAGTCTGCAATGAGTGACAACATTTAAAGGTCGATACCAGTTTGAAAAATAGTTGAATTTAATTACTGCCTAAATAATGTTTTATCATGTTTTATAAAATAGAAGGGGAGGGATGACACCAAAACAAAAATACTAAATTGGTGGAACAGGGTGGTGTAAACCGTTCAGTTACTGTTACTGGGTCTAAGATTTGGTTTTCACTCTGACTGACTCTGATATTCGTGATATTATTAATTTGAAGAAATCAAGTTTTTATCAAATTAATAAATCTTTAGGCCTATAATAAACCTAACTTGATTCTTGTGGTTTCTCAGGAGAAAGAAAGACTAGAATCAGAGAAGTTGGAACTTAGGAACCAGCTTGACTCAGAAATCATAATGCTACAGATGAACCTTAAAAAGCTAACACAGGTTTGTAGTTTTAACATTCAGGATCTTTATTTCTCAACTATCTTTTTTTTTTAAATACTATCACGTGAATTAATTTTTGGTTAATATACATTTATGTTAAGTGTAGTTTCTAAATTTTTACATAAAACTATTTTTTAGCAACAGCCAAAATCAATAACTGTATACACTACACTTATCTATACAACATGTTGCCATTTGATAGGTAGGCCTACCCTCAAATCAGGTGACTGACTGATAAGTCACTAACTGAATGTACATTAAACAGTCATGACTTTGTCTTTGACTGCCGAAATAGCATTCTCTATCTTTATAATTCACCATAAATATCCAAAATTTAAAAAAAAAAACAATTAACACATTTTTTTTTCAATTGAAAATTTGTTTCATGATTAATGTAAATTTTATTTATAAAACTGAACTGCATTTTTATTTTACACAATTTTAGGATGGTGAGAACAAATTGGACAAGAATCAAGAAGAACATCTTCTAAATTTGAAAAAAAGATTAGAAGAAATTGCCTCAGAAAATAGAATGTTAAAGTCTGAACTAACTGACGCACAGACAAACTTGGCATTGATACGAAGTCAAATGTCCACAGTCAAACAGCAGTTGGATGAGAAGAATTATGAACTAGAGATGTAAGAAAGGAACATTTTGTTTAATTCAGTGGCTAACATGTTGTTTTTTTTTATGAAGACTTCTTGGCCAATGAACCTGATCAAATAAATATTTAAATGATTCAAGTCTAACGAGAAATTATTCTTAATTTTCAATTGGTGACACATTATAGATCCCATAAAAAATATGAGTTTTGTTCAAATCAGATATTTCAATTTCCCAATTCTTGTTTAATCCTGTACCTTTAAAATGATATACTAAGTTCTTTATTTTAGTCTAGCCTACTACAATACTTATTATAAGTAATAGCAGAATGTGAAGGTGCTTCAACTGTAAAGTAAAGAATGAATCTTTGTTGATTGTAAATAGTAGCTAGGCCTTCCTTCCTACTGGGTTTTTATTACAATTGTCATCACAGTTTTGCTTAATGATTCTTATTTCAGCGGTACAAAAACTCTTGAGGAGTATTTAAGTGAGACTGATAAGTTGAAACGACAGCTTCAAATGCTTTAGTAAGTATGCGACGAGATCTCGTCCCTTCCTAATCTGTGTATTTACCTCCCGCACATTTGTACATTTCAGTGAAAACAAAACCATTGAGGATTATGTTAATGAGCAAGACAAGCTTCGGCGTCAGCTGCAGATGTTACAGTGAGTATAGGCTACGATGGTGTGAAACCTGGTCGGTGGTGCTGACCGTTTTATCTTAATTATAATCACACCAACATAGGATCAGAGTACTGATAAAATTTTATGGTTAAAATTTAAAAAAAAAGAACCAATGTTCTTCCTGAAATTCTGTGCCCCATTATACAAATACCTTTATATGAATTAGTCCAGAATTAAAATGGATTCGTTTTCTACACAAAAATTTTGATTTTGCAAACTTATAATTAAAAAAGTTTTTTTACTTCTTTGAAAATGCTCATCAAGCTTATTTAAAAGTTGAACAGTTCATGCAGAGAACTGTCCTAGAAAAATTCTAGCAAATATATCAACCTTTACCAATCATATTCATATCATTCTCAATGTACATTATCAAAACAACTTGTCTAGTTTTATTTTGCTGTTTGGTATTTCTTAGCTAAAGCTATTGTATTATAATAACACATTTTTTTATCAAAGTGAAATTCATTTTTAAGGATGGAAATCAAGATCATAAACTGTTTAATGTTTATTTAGATATCTTAATAAAAAAATGTTAGTTTACATTTTATTTCAAGCACATGGCCACCATGAAATATGTTATATCTAAAATGATTTTTTGCTTTTCTCCTTCCGTGTGATTAAAGCAGTGATGTTTTAAAATAAATTTCAACATCTTTTCAGCGAAGCCAATAAAAACTTGCTGGACACCAATGATAATTTACGCGAGATGTTGGACTCCTCGCCAAATGGGACAACAGGCTACAAGAGACAAGCCTCCACCGATGTAAGTTTCACACACATCCACACACATCCACACACATCCACACTAGATAAACTAGGTCAAGAAGTTTTATTTTTTGTTATATTTATTATTTTTAGGCGGCTTTTTCTTCCAATGATGTATCAACAATAATCTTTGTTGAGTTAAACCATTAAACATCATCTTATAATGAAATAGTATGAATTAGCTTTTAGTAATTTGTAGCAGCTAGACCTGGTCATGGTGTTGTATCAAATTTAAATTAAGAATATAAACTTCCTGAGCTTATATTTTGTGTTATTAGATTGTTTTTTTTTTTAACAACATTTTAGTTTGAGCTGGGGGCATTGTACAAAGTAAGTTTGACTTGGGTCTTCTCTCACTTTTCTTACTTACGCTCTCAGTCAGTATTTTAACTCACGGATTGGGTACCATCAGCCACACTTTTTACCACCCCACTCTTTTAATTCTCTTCACTTGCATGTCTGCATGTTGAGTTTTTGTAAATCACTTTGCTCTAACTTCTAACATAAATATGTAATGCTTATTTAATCACAATAATAGCAAAAACATTTTATATGGCCCCAAAGAGTTTAAATAATTGCAAGAAAATTATTGTGACCCCTTTGCGGCAATAATTTTTTAATAGAAATTACTGTTTAAGTAAGTCTAATTAGACATATAGACAAAATGGTAATGAAACCATTATTATATCTTTTAAATGCCAAGAAAAGAAAAGTATTGTTAACTTTTAAATAGGATCTAAGTTTAGTTAACATTTATATTTTAGTTCAAGGTTAACATTTAGACTTAGAATTTATTTGTTAAATGATTTCCTATCTTTCAAAGAAATATTCCTAATACATAGACAATTTTATCGATGTGTAACTAACACTAAGACCTAACACTCTACTAACTGAAATAAGGATTTAAGACTCCAGCCCAGTTTTGGTATTGATTTGCTTTGTTTTGTGTTTTAAATCTTATTCTTTTTTTTTAAAATTCTTGAGCATGTCTTTGTACATCAGTTAGAACTTATCAAAGTTGAATTAACATTCTTTAATAAACACAGCAACATGTAATTATATTTAATAGCTTTTAATTCTATATTGCATGACATCTAATATCTCTGTTTTGAATGGGTGTTGGTTTATGTCATAAATGATCAGCCATTAATAATTATTTAACTGTAGTAAAAATATATTCTTTAGAATTCAATTTTGCTAAAATATTTTTATAAGCAGACGTTACACAATTTAGGATACATATTACAATCATTGATTTTAAAATAAATATTGAGAAACAATGAACTTATTTGAGTTAGTGATCTAGTTGCCAAATTTATCAAGATGTAATAAACAATTTAAAAAATTTTTTTTTTTTTTAACAAAAGCTGCTATAGACTTGATTTTATGTATTTTAATTACCAATTTTTGTTTCCTAAAGTCTGGAGCCAGTGCTAAAAGTAATCGCAGTCTGTCGCCCAACTTCCCGAGGAAAGGTTCTGTCATGAGTGACTATGTTGACATCCATCCAGGGTTAGTATGTGTTCTTTATTCTTCAGTGTGTCTCTTTCTAATTTGTATTTTCTCAACAATTCAGTCATAAGCAATTATTTTGTAACTGATACTTAAAACTAGTATTAGACTACATACAAATGTGTATCAGAAATGTGCAAACAATACTGAGATTACATTTTTGTTGCAAACTTGTAGTAATTAAAGTGGTAGGTCCCATATAGACCCATTATTTTAATGCATAAGATTACAGGAACTAAAAGACTAGGCCCTTACTCTAAAATATTTGACGATAAACTTCATCTTTTGTAATACATTATTTCCCAGGAACCGCCCTCTACTAGAGTCTGGCATGATGCCCAGATTTTTGACGGAGAGCTGCGACGATGACAATATGGCTGAGGATCTAGGTGACCATCCTGTTTTACTTTCTCCCGGTATTTTTATCTCTCATTCCATTTATTTCTTCTTTCATTCTATTTCTTTCTCTTTTACTTTTATCATTTCTGAGCTCATTTCCCAGTTAAAATGTAATAGCTTTACATATAGCAGTTGGTGGTTATACTTTTTAAAATGAGTCAACTGTGAATGATTTTTATTCTTTTACAGATAGTGGTCACTCAACTTTACGTGACTTGAATGATGCTAATGATGACACAGAGCTGGACAGTGTCAGTGTGCAAAGTGACATAAGACGCAGCCGTCGCCATAAGAGATTGAGAACAGGTCTGCGAGTTCAAGAGGAAGAGGAGGTACTTTTATCTCATGCAGCCATTATGGTATGGCTGTATGATTTAATCTCGTCTTTACAAATGTTAGTAGTTGTAGGGTATAGGAGGTAGTTATATACCGTTAACAAGAATATGAAGGTTGGAAAAAAGTATTAATATTATTTGTATTTTGATTTTTGAAATTCACAATCTCCTGTTTCAAGATTTAGTATTCTTTACACACATATATTTTCAAGAACTTTATTGATAATATTTAACACAGCAAATATTAATTAAATTATTATGAAAATATTTTGTGCATTTTAGCCTGATTCCCATGATGAAGAATCTGACACTGAACACAATGGCCTGGATTCATTTCGGCTGCCCAGTGACCATAAAAGGTCCCCTTCTGTTGGCAGCAGGGGATCCAATCGTAGTCAGAAATCTCTGAACAGGGAGGAGTCAATACTCAGTCAGTCGTCCAAATCTAGCCGGGGCTCCATGAGAAGACAGCTTCCTCCAGTTCCTAGAAAAGATGTAAGATCAACGGAATTCATTTGCCTATTTAAAAAAAATATAGCTTGAGATTTTGCTAATTTTAGGGTTTAACAAAGTTTTTTTTTGTTAAAAGTTTCTTAAAGATAGGTAGGCGTATCTTTAGCCTTTGTCACAGAAGCTGTTTTTAAGTCTAATTCAGCTTACAACATAGATTAAAAAGTTTTAATTAACATAAAAGTTATATTTTTGTTTCAAAACTAAAGTTAAACTTTAAGTGCTGATGATTAACTTTGTTTCCTGTAAATCCTACACAATTAAAAATGATTAGATTAACCTCCCTTTGTTTAGGTTGCATTAGCCACCAAAGTATCCAAGGAACCAGAGCGCATGTACAAGATAGTTTTAGCTGGAGATGCAGCTGTGGGCAAGTCTAGCTTCATTGTCAGGCTGTGCAAAGGAAAGTTTGTTCCCAATCTCAGCTCCACACTAGGTACATTTTTTTATAACCTCTATTTTGTGTTTCTATATATATTTCAAAAGAACTCCAGTATTTTAAAAATCACCATGCTGCTGTACACTTAACATAAAAAAACAGGATTGGATGTAAATCGTTTCAACATTTGATAACTTCTATGACAGTTTTATTTGTATTTTACAAATGTTTTTGTTAATTTTGATGAAGATACAGTAAATTTCTTTTTTTTAAATCTATTTTACTTTAAAAACTATTTATTTCATTTTATTGTTTAAACATAGAGAAAAACACTTATTTTCAGGTGTTGATTTCCAAACTAAAATGCTGGATGTGGATGGTCATCCAACAGCTCTGCAACTCTGGGATACAGCTGGACAAGAGAGGTTAAACATTTTTCCTTTTTTTTTATGCATAAAATCTAAAGCTATTAAAACGTTTATCAACGTCAAATTTTTATCAACTAAAAATCCTTAAAGTTCTGCTTGTATTCATTTTCATTATAAAAGAAAAAAATTCAGAATATCTAAAAAGATTTATATCTAACAACTTGTGTTGCATGATTACAATGGTTCTAGGTTTCGTAGTGTGGCAAGGACATATTTTAGACGAGCTGATGGTGTTTTGCTGTTATATGACGTCACCTATGAGAGATCTTTCTTGAATCTAAGAGACTGGGTAGATGCTATTGAGGTGAGTTTAGTCTCACATTTCTGCTTTATGTTAAGAAAAGCTCAACTATAGGATGGAATCGGAGAAAAAAAAGCTTTAAAAATATAGATTACAGATCTAGTTTTAAATGCCAAACTTAATTGAATACCATCAACAAACTGTGTCCAATCTAAAGATTTAACTCAAACTGTTTGGTTTCTTTACAGACAAATAGCAAGGTACCATTTTCTATAATAAAATACTAACCTTAACTAAATTTCCATTCCCTAACACATTTGTAGAAGCTAAATAATTTTTTAAGAAATAATTCTAATGTTTCAATAAAGATTAACTGTAACCACTAATATTTCAGATCATTATCAAATGGCTTTTTAAACATAGCATTTCACAAGTTATGTTTTTTAAATAATAAATTAGGTAAAACATGTTTTTAGTCAAGCCTATAAATATTGCAATGGAGATAAGCCTACACTGCACGATCAAGTCATAGAAATTATCTTAAAATGCTTGCAAATAAAAATTTATAATGAACCAATAGTTTGCAATCCTGTAGGCTTCATATAGCTAGAACCAAATTGTAGATCTTTTTTTTTCTAATGGGCCATTTGGTCAGCATTAGACATGGTACAGAAATAGTTCCTGCTAAGATTGATTTAATAGTTGATTTAATAGTTTAAAATAAAAGTTCTATTTCAGCGCATTAAAACATATTCCTAAACAAAATTAAAGTCAAAACAATTTTAAAAACTATTATTTTGATATGTTTACTATATTCGTTTAGCTATCAATGTGTGGAGTTAAGGCTCATCTATCTGTCACACAGCATGAATACTTTTAACACCGTACTAATCCATATATCATACCTATCACCCTACAATTTAATGACTGCCAGCATAGATTTCTCAAGCCAATGTACAAAATTTTAATTAGTTATTTTCTATACTCTAAATTCTAACATTTGGTTAGCATGGAGATATTTTAAATTGCACATGACTAGGTTAATATTTGGTTAACAATTTTTGCATTTTATTTATTTTGGATGAGGTAATACAAAAACTAACGCTTTAATTTTTATTTATCATACCACACGAGCATGTGCATGCAATATTGACAAATGTATGGTACCAACAAAGTACAACATTGGTTTATGTATTAACATCCTTACAAATTAATTAAAGTGATTAAACTAAATTTTATTAGATGAGTACATTTTTAAGCAGATAAGACAAATCAAAATTGATAATAAAATTACCGTATCAGGTGGTAAATTGTTTTTGAATCAAAATAATATTAAACTTAACATGCTTTGTTTAAAGTTTGTGAATCTTTATTTCTTTTTAGAAATTTTATTCTACAATTAATTTATTTTATTAATTTTATTCTTTATTTAAAAAGTAAAAAAAAACCAATAAATTCCTCTCTTTGTACATCAGAAATAAAGTTAGTTTTTTTTCCTCACTTATTTATTTTATGCATTGCCAGCTACTTTATTATCTATTCAGAATTTGAAAGTTTACTTTAATTTGTGAGCAAGAATGGCTTAATTTGCTTACTAAATTTATTTTCTCCGGGAAAAATCCAGCTCAAATATTTAATGTAACAACTGGCAAAAATTCTTTTCTCAATTTCTGCCTTGTTCACTGTTTTTGTAATTCTCATTCCAGGAAGGTGCCTTAAAGAAAGTTCCAATCATGTTGGTGGGAAACAAAACAGATGCCAGACCTGAGCTGGAACTTCAGGGCAGGAGAGTGGTTAAACATGATGATGGTGTGCGCCTAAGTCGAGTAAGTTTTACATGGTGTTTAGTTGAGTAAGTTGATTGTTTTACATAATGATGGTGTTTAGTTGAGTAAGTTGATTGTTTTACATAATGATGGTGTTTAGTTGAGTAAGTTGATTGTTTTACATAATGATGGTGCTTAGTTGAGTAAGTTGATTGTTTTACATAATGATGGTGCTTAGTTGAGTAAGTTGATTGTTTTACATAATGATGGTGTTTAGTTGAGTAAGTTGATTGTTTTACATAATGATGGTGTTTAGTTGAGTAAGTTGATTGTTTTACATAATGATGGTGTTTAGTTGAGTAAGTTGATTGTTTTATATAATGATGGTGTTTAGTTGAGTAAGTTCATTGTTCTACATAATGATGGTGTTGTTATCAGTGAAGCGAGTTCATTTATCTTGCAAAATTTTGTTCTAATCCTAATTTTAGATATGGTATTTTAGAATCCCCTCTAAAACAGTAGTGTCAAACAATGTCAATGTATTAGAATCCTCTCTAAAACTATTGTATCAGACAGTGTCAATGTATTTTAGAATCCCCTCTAAAACAGTAGTGTCAAACAATGTCAATGTATTTTAGAATCCCCTCTAAAACCATCAGACAGTGTCGATGTATTTTAGAATCCTCTCTAAAAAAAGTTGTGTCCAACAAATTCAACTATTTTGTTTGTTCCAGGAAATTGATGCTCTGTTCATTGAGACAAGTGCCAAGGATGGGGCAAACATTACAGAGGCTGTCATAGAATTAACAAGGTAAACCAAATTAGTCCTGAATAAAATAAAAGACAATAGAATTAACAAGGTAAACCAAATTAGTCCTGAATAAAATAAAAGACAATAGAATTAACAAGGTAAACCAACTAAGTCCTGAAAAAAATAAAAGACAGTAAAATGCATTAATTCGAGGTATTTATCTGCATTCTCCCGCCCTCCCCACGTGAAGTTCCTCCTTTAATTTCATAACCATATTTTGAAATTTAAAGTCAACAGATTTAAAGTTGTTGGCAATGTGTAATCCAAATAATGAAGTGAATAAAATGTGATTTGGAGATTTACACCTCTGATTCCTTTTTTATATGTTTATGAACAATTTCATTGATATATAGACAACTATTAGAAAAATCAAATGTGTTGTTTTCCAGATTATTGCGGACAAATGAGGACATGGAGGTGAAAACTGTAGGGATGCAGTTACAGGAGATGAAGGATAAAAAATCTGGCTCCTGTTGCAACAGATCCTAAACTTTGTGTTCAAACAGACATTAAGTGCCTGATACAGTATGTGTGAAACAATTTTGTTTTAGTTATGTTTTAATTTTATTTTGTATATGGTGAAACTTCACACACATTGGGGCCTTCATTGTACATACCATACAGAAGTTAATTTATTTACAAGTGAGATATTTATTTTACAAGTGTATAAACTGTACATTGTAATAAGTGATGAAGGGTACAGGTGGAACTTATGCAACTTTTTAATTGTTTAAAATGTACATAGTGCTTTAGGACTACTTGCAATGTTGTTTAAGCTATTAATAGCATAATAATATTGTGAGTAGGAGATTCTTTACTATACAATTGTTTTAAATTATTCTAAATTATTTTTAAACTGACTGTGATTAAGGCTGTACAAAATCTGGTTCCTCTGAAAAATTTCTCTCAATAACATTTGTAATAACCTCTAGCTATGATGATTAGAATATAAAAATAAGGTGGTGTTGAAAGACCAAAATTAATTGAAATTACAATTTAAATGTATAAATACTACTTTATTTTAAATTATTGATTTAATTTAAAACATCACATTTATTTTAAAATTCAGCAAACTGTGGAGGGCTAATATTTACTAATGCCATTAATTATTATAAAATGTATGTACATAAGAAGTACAAATGTATTAGCAGGGTTCAACATTGAAATTAGCCAAAATAATTTTTTACACCTTTTTAAACCACTCACCATCATTCCACAACTGTTCTATTTAGAATATGCAACCATGTTGCAGTAAAGGTAGTTGTCTCATTCTTGTTATAGTGTTATATATTAATGTTTTATAACAGGTTAAAACTTGTAAAAGTGCAATTACACAACAGTTTCAGTTAAAATTGTTTTATTTTAAAATTGTAAGCATTATGTTTTGTTGTCAGAAATCTTTTGTTCATTGGACACACCTTCAACAATTTATCTTACTTGTCTTTCATTCATTTTTTAATGTTTTGTTATCATTTGATTTTGTAGTCAGTACAGTGAATTGCATTGTAATTTATTGTTTTAATGTAATATTAGCTGTTCAAGTAGTTATCATTCTTAATAAGCATATAATTAATAATTTAATTATATTTTAATAAAACTTTAAGAAAAAATAATACACAACTAGATTGTTGGTAATTGTTGTCAGACAAGCTTTATAAAATAGTTGGTATTGTTGAAGTGCCTTTCCACTGATTAAGTATTTAAGCTTAATTATTTTATTTTACTAAGGGTATTTTTAAAAATTTCTCTGACTTGTGTTCATCCAATAAAGCAATTCCTTGTGTTCAGTATGAATCTCATTCCAGTTCATCATTAAAGCATTTAATTTATTTGTTTAAGTTTTCTTCATTATTTTGAAAAAAATACATTAGCATTTCGCTTTACTTATAATGAATCCTAAATCTTGGTTTACCCAAAGATTTAGATGTCATTTGTATATTGAGATGCTAGGAATGTTTTTACTTCTACTTCAACATGAAAATGAAATTATTCTGTTGCTGTTAATCTTGGATGGATCGATACTATAATTTTGTGTTGCTATTACAATTGGATGGATGTAATTTTTGCTCATTTAAAGGTTGTAAAATAATACAATACTTTAAATTGCTTTTTACTTTTCAGTTAAAAGAAATTATAAACTAAATTTTCTTACAATGCTTTTAAAAATATTTTCTGTACCTTTAAGTAGGCCTATAGGGTCAGATCTTATCAAAGCTATAGCCTAAGTTGCTAGTACAATAACCTAAACAGTGATATTGGCAGGTAATAAACCATTGTAAGCCTATGGTACAGATTTCTTTGTTGCCATTTATTTAGTGTAACATTTTTCTTAGAAATTAAGCCCTAATTTAAAGTATTATACATTTTTATTATGTTTCATCTCATGTTAACTTCTAGAATATTATTTGTTAAGTTACCATATATACTCTTTCTGAAGCTCACTCAACTTCCCCCCCCCCCTCCTCCAATCACCACTAAACTGTTGTTTTCAATGAAGATGAGAAGAGACCTACCCAGAAATTTTATCTGACCAGCTGTTAAGCCCAAGTCACTTACATTTAGCTAAGCTACATTTTTGAAAATCGTGAGCTAATGGATAAGTGTGTATGGTGACAACATTAATAACATTCTGTATTTTAAGGAAACCTTTTGTTGGTGTTCTTATTATTTTTAATGTGCTGGACATGTTAAAAGTAATTTTTTGTTTCTTATCTTCTTGCTACTATTTTTTAAAGATGTCATTATTTCATATAACACTAGAATAATCTGAAATGTTTTAAAATATCAATTTGCATTTAAACTGTTGATTTTATGTGAAATGTTTTTTTTTTATTTACATTTAAGTTTGCAGCAACGTTGTGCTTCCCTCTCATAACATTTTAACTGATTATCCTATGAGGCAGAATCTTTGTTAAAATAAGTTCTAATATTTATTTTAAACAATGCATTATTCCCTTTGTTAAATTAATATAATGTAGCCTTTTTGTCATTATCATTAATGTTTTTAGTTGAAGAGCTTGTTTTATCAACAACTTATTAATTGAAATTATGAAATTCCATACAAATCACATTCCCCTGCCAAAATTAAACCTACCATATCTTGATTTACAGATGCAGCTACCATTCTTTTTTATATTAATTTGTTTAAATGTTTGTAGTTAATTTTCCTGTTTTACTTACAAAATTTTGACCTACTTTTAGCATTGCTTGTCTAGACTAAAATATCCTTTTTTGTAAAAATGGTAATTTAAAAATAGTAACTAGTTAACCTACCTGTTTATAATAAAACAAAACTAACCTCAAAAATAGTTAATTACCATTCTTTTATTGCTGTGAAGAAAACAATGAATTAAACCAAAACAGAATATTGTAGATACTTTGTACTGCTGACTTTACAAATGTACCATTATGCATCTTCAATATCAATTAAACTTCAGCAACTACTGCTACACTGTTGTCATTGTGCTCTTCTTGTTCGGTGTTTCCTGAGTCGTTTAACGTTATTGTAGCTATTTTCTGTGGGGGCGTGGTCTGGTGGTAGAAAACACATTTACTGACCACATTCAAATAGCTCCTCTCACCCCCCATATCCACACTACAAGGTGTGGCGCCTAGTGAGGCCAGGTCTGGCACCTGGTGAGGTGACTAAAACCAGGCGGACCCATCAGTCGAGTGGCTGGTTCAAAAAGTTCATCCAGTGGCTGGTTCAAGAAGTTCATCCAGTGTAGTTTCAAGCCAGTTCATGAGAGAAGTTTTTATTTTCTTACTTAACAGAGAGAGTAGCAGTGTTCTATATTCTCTTTCTGTTCACCTAACTAGTGTCCAAATCTACTTCTCATCTACCCCCCTCCCTATCACTTACACTCTCTGTCACTGATCGGAGCAATCTGGTTCAGTTTGTAAATTCTAATGGCCAAACTTTATAACATTTTGTAATACAATTTTACTTGGTAAATGGAATTCTTTTTAGTTTATCAACAAACATAAACAAAAACTTTACATGATGCAGTTTTCTCTATAGTAAATCTGCTGCAGAGTCCTCAAAAAAAGAATGTACACACAAAACTTACACCACAACTCACTACATTCATCAAATGTTTTCCAAACAAGTTTAAATTAATTTATAGAGATCAACATTAGCTGATAAAATACCAAATTTTTGCGATAGAACCACATCACAAGTTTGATGTCTTTGATGTGATTGACCTTCACACATTTCGCTCTGTTTCGCCTTTGTGAAGGAAATTAACCACAGTTTAAATTTTATGCCAATTTGCCATTGAACTATTCTGTCTTTTAAAATAACTAGTGATTTAGTCTAGAAAAATTAAAGATAGAATACAAAGAGTTGAAATATTTCTCTGCCAGTGGCAGAATATAGGCGGCAGGTGTTAAGTTAATTTGTAACATCAAATAGTGAGTATATTAAGTGATAGAATCAAATATTATTTAAAATGCCATACTTGACAATGGGTCATAATATTTCCAAATACAAATGAGCACTAAAATATAAAACCCACTTTAAAAAAATATTCTTAGATTTAAAGTTATTTTTGTTATAGTTTGGGCAAACTCTGTTGGCAGCTTTTTTTTAATGTTAAAGGCAAAAGTTTACTCAATTTCTAATTTGTCTAGTAATTAAAGCTCAGATTTTAAGCTACTTGATGTCAGAAGCAGCAATAACCTCTGATGTGTAAAAGACTTTTGGGGCCAATTCTTTGATTTTTTATGCACATTTGACAAAAAGAAAAAAATTTCTATCGAAGACTACAACTAATAAAACACAAAAAATAGCTGCAAATGTTAAATTTTTAAATTGGTGTGTAAATAAATGTAGATAAATTATACTAAATCAATATACTTTTTATCATCTTTTTTAAAACTTCACTTTTCTCTTTTTTTACAACTTGCTTGTCCGGTATTTTGACACTAAAATAAACATTTTGTTCAGACACAGCCATCTTTATTACATCTTTTATGTCTGAGTATTATATTTTATCAAAGCTCCAACAAGTTTAGCTCTCAAATTCCAACATCGCTTAAAGCTCCAACTAATTGAGCTCTGTAATGAGTTTGAAGCTCTGTCAGTGAATTTACTTACCTTTTTACCAAGAAACATATGTAAATACAAGAATTCCCTGAAAAATACAACAAATTCAGGGAAATGTGTTTGCATGGAGTAAACAAATAGCAAGAACATGTGTACACAGAAAACAAGTACCAGGAACATAAATGAAAATAATGCCAAGTCTAAAAAAAAAATCTTGAACTTTATTTGTCTTCACACCTAGATATAAAAATCATACAGGATAGGAAGCTGAGAGTGTCATCTTGAATCATGTTTACATTTGTTCCAGCAAAAGGAAGGGAGGGGGGGGGGGGGTAGTGGTGGTCATTATTTGAACACTACCAATAATTTGAACCATCAAACAAACTTGATTCAATCATGATTTTAGACAATACAGTAATCATAAATAGTTGGTTAAAACAATACAATCAACTGCTCAATAACATTTTTTAAAAATTTCTGTATCAAACAAAAGCGAACTAGTTAACTCATTTAAAACCCAATCAAGTAAGTTGTGTTTCAGGAAAACAACACTCACTCTTAACTCAACAACCAACCACTACAGCTTGGTGGCTACAGAATCATTTGTTGAAACAAATTAGAACAGGCATACAAACCTTGCAAAACTCAACCCAGCACAGGCAATAAAAAAAAATTACAAGCATTATATCTTTGTTGTGTACATGGGGAATAACTCTCATCAACCTTAAAAAAATTAGACAACTCCATCAAGCTCTGGTAAATAAGAAAAGGGAGTTAATTCATGAACTTCAGGCTAGTTAATCTCAAGCAGAAAAATAGATACCAGCTTTTGATTTGTAAATAAAGTGATCCAGTATAAGTTAGTCATTTAGTTGGAAGGACGCTAGTTAACAACACACATTAAAAAGCACAAAGAACATTATGCTCTATAACATTAACAGTACAGACATTTTATATCAAGAGTACATTTTAAATTAGCAACACATGCTTTATCAAAAGTACAGAGATTATATTAAAATACATGATACAGTACATGATTTTTATCACCAGTGCACATCTTTCATAGACATACATTGATTTGGTTAGGAAAAAAATTAGCAGAGCTGTAGATATTGCTGAGCGTCACTCACCTTACAAACTAGTTGAAACAGGTCATCATGCATGTGATTCTGGTCACGCAACACAATTTTAATGCACTTGAGAGGAGTTGACCACTTGAAAATACTGGACTCTCAACGATGGTAATACTGTGTAAGGCAAATTCTTAGCAAAACTCTGGTCAACATAGAGACAATTAGGCATGCCGTAAACATTGTTTAAAACTGATCAACAATTCATTATTTTCAAGTTGACTAAAAACAATACTGGCAAGTTAATTTTTACCAAGTTCATCAGCTCTGTAACAATTCTCAAAAAATGTTTAATTTATAAATCATGACATTGCATAAAGCACAATATTTGTTTCATTAAAACTCATTTATCTTGATGGCTGAATTACTGAGAATAACCTCACAATGTTATACTGCGTATTAGTGAACATATCCACACCAGATAACATGCAATAGCTGTTAAGATATTGTTTGATCTTTAAAAAAATGGAATAGCTTACAGTGGTGTAATGCCAATGTTAGAGTAGAAATGGTTCTGCATTGAAATATAAAAAATTGATTTGATTATTTACATCATTTTAAAATGTGTTGGGTAAGGCCGCATAACCTGAACAATCTTCAAGTACTTGGTGGCATTTTAGGTCTTAGGCTGAAGTATATGTACGCAGCAATTTAACATCTATACAGCAGCTTTATACAGCTGCTTTACATCTATACAGCTGTTTTCCTTACAAACAGCTGTTTTACATCAAGACAGCTGCTTTACATTTAGACAACAGCATTTGATTTAGACATCAGCTTTACATCAAGACAGCTGCTTTACATTTAGACAGCTGTTTTACATCTACACAGGAGCTTTACATCTATACCTTCACATAGAGATCTACAAAGCAACTCTACATTTACACAGCAACTTTACAAAGACAAGTTTATACATCACTGCTTGACACAGTGCTTGACAGACACATCATAACAACATTGCTTTACACACACATATTTAAAACATCAAATGACTGACAAGTCAGAAGACTGACTTGTCAGATGACTGACATCAGATGACTGACATATCAGATGATTATGACTGACAGAAAAAAGTATTGCAAAAATGTTTACAAGTGCAAAGTAAAAGATGGCTGATTGGTTAGTACTGGAATAAACAAATGTTTATAGGTGGGTCAGGCTCTGTTCAGTTACAACACACAATCTACAGTAGAACAATTAGGGACCTGAATGGCTGGATGCAATTTTGAGTAGGAATGGTCAATTGTTTCATAGAGAGTATCATGGGTTATGGAGGGTTAATTCTTATCCTAGTCAAGCAAGTAAAAGTTTCCCTGGTCAATAGCGATGTGGCCTGTGGAGGGTTAATCTTTATTCTAGCGCTCTGCCCTAATAAACTCAGCTGTATAAAAGTTTTTGGAAGAATATTTTGTCAAAAAAATTTCAAAACTGAACGTTCAGGAATGACATGCAAGAGGCTACATGTTCTTAAGTCTGACTAGAGAGACACAGCAATGCTGTGTTATCTGTAGCCTCTGGCTACACTCAAATATTTGGTGGCAGGAAATTTGATTTTTACACATAGCAAATCTAATCTAACAGGGTAAAGTTGTTTTCAAAACTGGAGAACATTTAGAAGAAATTTGTAAACAGTGTTGGACAAGGAATGTTTGTCTAGCAATAGATCACTAACAGTTCAATAACAAGTAGCAAAAATATAGGTAGGTAAACTTTGACATAGCTCTGATGGTCATGTTCAAACATTGGGTAGATCATAGTCTATAGCAGTTTAAAACAAGAGAGATAAGTGATCATTCTGCTCCAGCTGACACAGGTCATTTGATTAGGACAGAAAGTTATGGTATAACACATGAAATTTATACAAGCACACAAGCACTTCAAAATGAACACAATAACATCAAATATGAAAATAGGTACTGCGTAGCAGAAAATTTAAAAATAATTTGAAGCAGCAACAGTCTAGCTGTTGTGTGTACACCAAATTTTTAGCAAGGGAAAAATATGACTGGCTTCAAGAGTAACATGTGTCAAAAACAGGGCTGTATGTGTGCCACTGGTTCCACAGCGCACACACCAACATATGGTGATTACCCGTAATACTCCAACTGTATTTATATGGTGTCAATAAATATATCATGACATCAAGCGACCTATTTATCATGTCCACAGATGACACCAGATGAAAAATTATTCATCATTAGCAATAACATCACACATCATCTACTGCTAGACAAGAAATACATGTTTAAAATTGTTCTATTGAACTGAGTACAGTGGACAAATGAGTAACATGGGTCTGTGTTCATAGTGTACACATCTTTTGATTGGTGTTACATCATGCTAGTATCTTAACTAACTGATAACTAAAATGTAAATATTTGATTTCACACTGGCGGCCTCCAATAAAATGGACATGCTAAATTTGTAAACATGGTATCTAAATTACAGAGCACCCTACCACAGAACACAGAGTAATACGGTGTTTTTGATAACAGCCTTATGTGTTATGGGCAATTCATATAATCAATATGTTGTGTGGAATTCACACAATTAAATTGAGGAATTCATACAGCCAAAACAAGTTTACAAATGGAAAAAAAAATTAAGTTTCTGTAACATCGTAACACCCACCTTCACAAAATTAATTCCTAATGGTTTTAAATACATTTCAGCAAAATAAATAAATGAACAAAAAATCTTTGCCAAGATTTCAAATAAAGTAAAACTTTTGAGAACAATAGAAGTCCAATCTTCTTTTTGTTCTAGCCATCCTGCCAACAACAGTGGGCGACTATTCTCTCTTCTTGTTGTTCCTCTGGCGTAGCTGCTGGGGGCTGTTGTTATTGTCTGACTTGGCACCTCCCTCCTCTTTCAGCTGGTCAGGTATGTCGTGTTTTACATTCTGGAATTACCAATAACAACAAAGTTCACTAACATAGAATTACCACAAATGCACAATATAAGTTCACTAATATAGAATACCACAAACACAAGTTCACTAATATAGAATTACCACAAACACAAGTGCACAAACACAAGTTCACCAACATGGATGCCCATGCCTCACCTTCAGCACATAAAACTTGATGATGGTGCCAACAACCAGAGCCAAGATGCCCAAGATCCAAAATATTGCAATTGGTTTGGGTAAGGGTTTGGTCACTGTGTTCCAGTCAAACTTGAGAACTATCAGCAGCTCAGTGATGATGATAGCAGCTGTCACCCAGGACTGACGACCAAACTTTTTACAGTTGCTGGAGAAAAGAAAAAGTTCGACACTAAGCCAACCATTTTTCCCACAGTATATTTGAATGAGAAGAATTCTAGCAGATGACAGATTTCTGCTGAACGGTCAATCACTCACAACAACACTCCTGTAAACAGACCCACTGTATCAGTCATATCATGGTAGCCATTTAAAAACAAATGTGGTTTTTTTTTCTTTCAAAAATTATTGTCTAGGCTACAGATTTATTTTAATAATTGAAATCAGAATTAAATTAAATGAGGAAAATTGCAGCTGAAAAGGAAAAATTGAATGTGTGCTTAAATTGGAAAAGTCACATCTCTGATGTGTTGTTATTGAAAGTGAACATATCTGAGCATTTTAAAAAAATAGCTCCATAAGAAATAGGTTGAAACAGAGTAACAAGTTTGACAGCAAACCCACAGACAGCTTTTAAAAATATTGTTAGTGCTAACGAGGAAGAGTATAAGTTAAAACAGAAAAAATATATAGGCTGCTAAAAGTAAAACAGAAAAACTGATTTTAAAGCATAGAAATAATTTTTTAAAACCCCATTTAGAGTTATCATACAACAGCTGTTACTTACGGATCATCCAGATATTGAAAGACTTCTCTCATTCCCGCTGCACCCATAAACAGAAAGAAGACGAGTCGGCTCAGGTTGATGTAATGTTCAGGTGGGATCCACAGGACAAACTTCAGGTAAAAGGTGTTCAACTCAGCCATTAAAAACTGTAACGTAGTACATTAATTAGGTCTCAAACAAAGAAGGATGATAAAAAATGTTCTTAATTACAGATGCTATATTTTTTTTTATTAAAGATGCTAGAAATTTTCATTAGTGAGACAAAAATTAAAAAGGTGTGATAGTATAAATAGGTCCCATGAAGTAAACTATTGGATGCAGTGAGTGGTTGAAACCTACGGCAGATATAACAAGCAGCATGGAGAGCCATCTCTTGAGGCTGGACGTTGGTTTCCAGTCGTAGTCCATCCAGCTGTGGGGTGTAAACTGTTGGGCCACCCTCATCACCATCCCACTGGAACAATCAGTAATCAAATTAGTCAGGTCAATCAGCTAGAACAAAACTCATCAGTTATTGCTATAGATTTAACATGCTTTAAGGGACATAATTCTTAACAAAAAAATTATTCCATTAAAAACCACATGGTTTACTTTTTTTGTAAACTAATAAAATAAATCTCAAAGTTGAACAAATAACATAAAAATGTGCTTTGTATGTTTGTAATTATTAAGATAGATAAATAAAAAAAAACATAGTAATTTTCATTTAATGTCCTTATTGTGTACTGTAAAAAAAGCACACATTTTTTGTTTTAAATTCATCTAAAAATGTGTTTACTGTCATTTTATTTGATAAAAGTTGAATAGCATAAAACAAAAAATAACTGGCAGTGCTATCAGAAACACATGAACAACCAAAATATTGCCCTGCTAGTGTAGTAGTTGGAGTAACATCTAGGTTAACAACGTGTGATCAGTATTTGTGTTATCACTCACCCGTATGTTGGCATATTCCACATGCCTCTCCAGTGGTAAGGCTTCATGGACAGGTAGTTCAGAGTCTTCATGCCGAGGTAAATCCCCAGACCATTACAGACCAGTGCATCCATGATCCACTAGAGAAGAAAACATAAACCAATTTATCCAAGATCCACTAAAAATAAAAATTGTATGTACTATTTAATTTTTTTTTACATATAACATTGATTGTAAAAACTTCACTCCTTTCACAAATTTCTTAAAAGATAACATATATTATCAGTGAACTTCACAAAATAACAAACAAAGTCCAACAACTTAACAACAGTGGAAACATTAAACAGTCTATCCTGGTATTATTGTCGACAATGTACATAATATTACAAGCAAATTGTTAACAAGAGTTATGCCCCTGCTTACATGGTCCCACCAGCATTCACTGAAGTTGGGCAGCTGATGCTCAAATGTGTACTCCAGCAGTTCAAACATAACACTCAGCACAGTACACAGCCACCAGTCCCTTAACACTAGGGTCTGCAGTACAAAAATGGTTTACTAGTCAAATACTGAACAAATTTATGATCTTATCAAAGAAATGGGGTAGGTTTAAAATGATCAAAGTGATGATTAAACCAGGGGACGGCGTGGTCGAGTCGGTAAAGCTCATGGTTGCTAAACCGAAAAGTCTCGAGTACGAACCCTCGGGCAGATGAGGCTCGTTAGCTGGGGACAGCCACTCTTCTAGGAGAGACAACTCCAAAATCAAACAACTGCTGCCTTGTAGCTTGTTCTTGGTTGGACAAAGGCTATGGAAGCAAATCCAAAAAGAAAAGCAGGCTGAAATCGGAGTCAATGGCCTCAATGGCGCATAACCAGTTGACACGTAACGCTTAATTGTGTTGGAGGCGTGGTCGAGTCGGCAAAAAGCTCATGGTTGATAAATTCGAAAAAGTCTCGAGTTCAAACCTACTGGCAGATAAATCTCGATCCCCTTCAACACTAATAATTAAGAACGAAGAAGAAGAAAAAAGATGATTAAACCAAAGACAAGCAGCAGCAACATATCCCACCACTTACATGTTGTGAATAAGTTTAAATAAAACTTACCTTTAACCACCAACCAAAAAAGTGGGTTGGTACAAAACCGTCCATCTTGTCCTAAAATATTTGGTCAAGTAAAACATAGGATTTTATTTCTTGAGTAATGAAATACAAAACTTTAATAACGCTTCAAAACCATTAATGTCATTTAGCAAAATGAAAAGAAACAGATTTTATAAACTTTTCTTATATATGAACTCTGTTTCTTACCCACATATTGTGCAAAGGATCTGTGTGGTTGGCATCATAGATGAGGCAGTTACCCCCGTAATCTTTTTCAGGCAGGGGTTGGCCCAGAGTGCCATCAAAATGGCGCAGAAGTAATCTTGCTGAGTTTACATCCTGAATCAAGAAAAAAAAAAACTGGTAACATTAAGTTATCTGGCGTGTACATTAACAATGTTGTTACACAAATTTGAACATAGTAAACAAAAAGCTGTTCCAACACATCATTACTAAAACATTACATCAAGAAGTATATGTTCTGTTTTTGGACAATTAAAAATCAATACTGACCTGAAACAAAAGAAACACTAAGGACAATTCATAGACAATACTCATACACAGTATCAGCCTCCAGAACACTGAAGAGAGAAAAATAAAATACTTTTAAAAAGGTGTTAAGTATTCAACATATTGCATGAAGTAGACAGAAGATATGACATAGATAATGGGTCATCCGTGAACTACATCATACAATTTTTTACATCCCACCCCCCTCTCCATTGTCAGAACACGCACCCCCCTCCTCAATATTACTTTTTCTTAAACAGTACATTTTTTCTACTATATCTACTTAGCTAGGCCAATGCCGCTGCCGAGAAAATCGGACAAATCGGCTTTTCCCTACCCCCTGCATGTTTAACTCTGTTTTTTGCATGCTTTTATTGTGTTTATGTTAACATGTTATACATCATTCTGTTCGTAATTGAACAACCTTTTTAACTGTATAAGTTTGATTTCTTTATTATTTCAGACGTTGAAGAAATCGCCGATTTAATCGCATTTTTTACCCCCCGCGGCGACGTGCCGATTAGCGGGGAGGCTTTTTCACCTTTTTAAAAGAGGGGTGTTACTTAGAGTCTATAGACTCTTTGAGTTTTCGTACTACAACAGTGAAACTTGGTAGAAGAATAGATTAAATGTTCACGTATAACGCTCAAGGTTCTTGGGGAAAATATGTTAAATACTTTTGGAGATATCGAACGGCAAAGTTGAACTAAGTTATTTGGGCTATTAATGAACCGATTTTTAATTTGAACCTTGAGCTGTATTCCTGAAATCTCGACGTTTATTAATATGTATGATATGTCCTATAATGCCCTAAGATAGAGACGTCTATAGACTTTGAAGTGGACCGAAAATCAAAACATGACGCGCCGACCGCTGTCCGACTGAACCGCTCGGCTGTGCTTCGAATCGCTGAGTTTTAAATATGACGCGCTACAATTTTTTTTATAGACGTATCGAGTTTACGTACTACAACAACCAAATTTGGCAGACGAACAGATTAAATGTAGACGTACAACGCTCAAGGTTCGTGGTCAAAATAAGTTAAATACTTCGGGAGATATCGGACCGCAAAGTTGAACTAAGTTTCCCGGTCTATTATTTGACCTATTTTACATTTGAACCTTGAGCTGTATTCCTGAAATCCCGCCGATCATTTTAATGTATGACATGTATTATAACACCTCATAATAAAGCCGTCCATACATTTTAAGACGGAACGAAAATAAAAATTAACGCGTCGGCCGCTGTCCGACTGAATCGTGATCTACACATCGTGTAGCACAGCCGAGTGTGTGGTCACGTGACGCTAGGCGGTTGATCCGATTGGATGAGACTATAAACAATTTCTAAAGATAGATACGTGTGTTCCCGTGTTTGACTCGTCGGGTATTGCTATTTTATATTTGAGTAGACAGGCATGTTTCATAATTTTGTTTTAAACCATTGAAACGGCAAAAAAAAGTCGTAATAGTATTTACTAATCGTCAAAATTAATCTTCTTTAGAAATTAATCCGGATAGCTGCGACCCGACCAAACAATGCTGACGTGATTCGCGTGCCGTAACGATTCATTATTGTGTACATTACTTTTTCGTAAAAATGGCTTTAAAAAATAAATTAAATTTTACCACGGGCTCTTTTTTTTCGGTTGACTAAAAAATTTTAAAACCCTTAACAACGTGGAGGTTACTAGCTTGCCAAATCGACCAAAATGGGATGGGGTGGGTATGGGGAGTCACTGACCACCCTACACGGTATGTAACAATTGTAACACCGTATGTAACATCCATAGCCTCACCCCGCCCCCACTACTCCGTGACGCGACAAGCCGAGGGTCGGCGCCTTTGATGTTGTATAACGGTAAACGGAAAAAAAGTCACAGGAAAAAAAAACACAGAAAAAAAGTCACAGTTTTTGCTAGGAAAAAAAGTCACAGAAAAAAAGTCACAGTGGAAAAATTTTATCGGAAAAAAAGTCACAGAAATAAAGTCACAGAAAAAAAGTCACAAAAACTTTTTAGAAATCTTTTTATTAATTTGTTAAGAATTGTAAATTTTGTATGTTTATTGTTGTGGGTTGTATTTTTTGATAGCATAAATTATTTATAGACGTTAAAAGCATTATGATTTATAACAATTGTAAGTAAAAATACTCTAAGATAATTAACATAACAATCTCAACTTTTGTTACGTATTTAGTTAAATACGCGGTAGAAAAGTTAATTATAAAAGAAATTTTGGCAAATTTTGCCGTAGGCTATTCTCTGGTCGGCCTCTCCTCAGTAGGCATTGTCCGAACATATTTGTGTTGTTGACGTTATGCGTCAATGACAGCCTTTAAACCTTGTCGGCTTTCTGTTTTGATCCTAAGTTTTGTTATGTAATGAGCGTGATAAATGTGGGCAGTAAAGGTGGTTGAACTAAACATAACTATTGTTGCCATGAGTTGAGGGCAGCAAGTCCGACGAACTTACCATTTCACGGTAATTTAATATTGGTATTTAAAAAAAAAACACGATGAAAAACGTGGACTTTGGAGCATTCTATTAAATGCTACTAATCTTAAGTTTAAAATAATTACAATCTACTTACTTCATAATAAATATTTTTAGATAAATTATAAAAATTCCTATGCGTATACAGCCTACACACATTACATTACATTTAATTAATCCTAAGTTAATTTGCACTCTCTATTTATTTAATACATAAAAGTATTAACAAATATCATGCAAATATATATTTGTGACTTTTTTTCCTGTGACTTTTTTTCCTGTGACTTTTTTTCCTGTGACTTTTTTTCTGTGTTTTTTTTTCCTGTGTTTTTTTTTCCTGTGACTTTTTTTCCTACAATCTGTATAACACCCGTACGGTACCCGAGCGGCTCGCGGCGGTTTCATACCCCACCTCCCCCCCCCCTTCACTTTGTGGAGTTGATGTTACTAACCCTCGGGCATAGATCAGGAAATCTTGCCAGACTTTTGTCTCTAAAATTACATAATATTCGTCTGACACGTTCATCGGGTTGGCCGACTAGCCTATCTAGCCTCGTGTTTACGTAATACGGCAATAAAATTCGCTGGTCAGAAAACCTGGTTAACCACGTCTGATTGAACTAAATCTAGGCAAATGCTGATGGTGATAAACGCCTCCGGAAACTTAAAAAATGCCTAGCATCTACTACACACAGTCAAGCACTCAAACACGTGCTTTTTTCCCAATGTAATAGGCCTACTGGTAGGCCCACAAAATACACAAGCTTACTACTAGCATAAACATTGAGCATATATAAATCTATGTTATAGACCTATAACTTACACTACCTTGTAGGCCTACAAGCTAAAAAAAAAAAACAATTTTCCTCCAATGTTATTAAAATTGTAAAAATGAGCAATTTTTTTGTGTTTAAAAATATTACAAAATTGTCATAAAGCACACTGATTCTGATAAGACACATTTGTAACTAGGCTAATTCTATAGAAGAAAGTTGTATCAATGGTATGACATTTAAAGTAACAAGAAATATAAGATATGCCTATATTTTTGGAATAGAGTAGGCCTGTACGATTGCACATAGATTACATAACATATTTTAAGAAGTTACATCATCACAAATATACTATTGTTATAGCATCCTTCTCTTTGTATTAAAACTGTATTAGTTATCTTTTCTTTAAGTAGGCTATTCACTTAAGTTAACTGACAATGAGCAAAAGAGATTTTAAAATAAATACATGGTAAATTATGAGCAAAAGGTGCGAATTACATAACCTGACCTTTATAGTTTTGTAATAATGTTCGACCATTTTAAATATCACCATTAGCTTCAGCATATACAAATGTCATATTATGGTTTAAAACAGTGTTTAATTTAAAGAATGACTTCTTATCACACGGATTATCAGATGTTGTAAAAAAAATTGAAGGGGGGTATTACATAATCCATGAAATAAGTCTGTTATGTAATCAAAAGACACTTTTTAAAATAGCATCATTGGATTCGGCATACAAAAATCTACAAAATATCATAAAATGACATCAATTGGTGAAGTCTGCTTGCTTTTATACCACTTTTAGTGAAAAACTCTTAAAAATTTGGTCCATACCCTCCCAGTATTTTTCCTCTTTCAGGGTCTACCCCGGTTGTCTGAAAAAACTGCTGTTTTTTAATGACTAAAAAATTCATAACTTTTTTGTTTATGGTCAGATTTTGAAAATTCAAACTGGTCTGTAATCAGATTGACAGCCCCTATCCAAATATATAACTATTGTATTGTTTTACTGAAATTAAATTTTTGCATTGGCCTAGCTAATCTACTGCGCTGTGTTAACTTGTAGTATAATGATCAAGTTGGGAAAAAATACAAAATAATGGCCAAAATTCAGTCTCTAGCATTAGGTTTTATGAATTTAATAATCACAAAAAATACACCCTCCCCACACCCCCTAGGAATATGATGTCTTTTTATGAACAATCTTAAGACATGAAGTGGATGACAGAAGTTGAGAGGAAGTAAGCACAAGGTAGACCAAGATACACTGCTTGAAATGTACCTAGCCATCACAAGGAAACATACCTGGATGAGGTCTGATAAATGGACCATCAGGGGTGTTGATGACACCAAACAGGAGGAATGCCAGTACAATGGCAACCAAACCTCTGAAACATTCATTTTATTACATGAAAACTACATCACATATAGAAGCAATAGCTTTTAAAAAGATGAGAAAAGTACAGTCGATCAATGTTTTAGTACACCTGTTCACACGAATAAAGCAATGCAAAGATAAAGTATTTGTTACCGTTTGGCATTGTAATCTCTGTTTAAAGATGGCTCCTCAATCAATGCAACATACACCAAAATAGCGCTGAAAAATACTAAGGCTGAAATTGTATGTGCTCTCCTGCAAGAAAAAAATGAAACAGCGTTAAGTGTAAATTGTAAAGATACTGCTTTATAATAAAAATGGCTGGGGGGTGGGGGATTTTCAAATATATGTATAAAATATGCATCGGGGAAAATCTTTTTCATTCAGTTAACAAGTTTTAGTGTGTGTCTTCATTAAATTATGCCACAATACCTTAACTGATTATATTGTAGTATATTTTTTATTATTAGGTCTAACATACAAGCAATTTACGAAATCTATTGCTTACCAGAAAAAAGTTAAGGTACCATCATCGTAAAAATCTTTATGAATGCGTTTCTCTGTCTGCCAGTCGTGAGCTGTTGTTGTGTGAAGTTTAACAAAACCATCTACATTTTCTTCACTTTTTTCTTTTCTAGCAGAGGCCATCTTCAGCTGCAGACTAAATTAAAACATATTTTTAATTTTATGCAGCACTATGTAACAAACTAAAGCATTCTCACACCATTATCGTACTAATTACAGCTTGATACAGCTAATATCATAATTAAAATAAGTTACTGGTTCTCTAAAAAAACATTGAAATGAAAATACTTTTTTAACATTTAACTTATGTAAAATCTATTGTTCTATTTGTACTGTTTCCATTTAATTGATTGTTTTAGTTTTTTAAAGACGAACATAGTAGGCCTATCTACATTTTAAAAAAGTAAGTGTAAGTCTTCAAATGCAATGAGTCTAGTGGTAAATTTAACTTCAAGACCATATGATGGAGAATGAGATAGACCAGAAAAGCTGAAATTTGATACTCGTTGATAGGGTCTACTTTTTAAAAAAAAAATTAGGCCTAAGCGTGTTATGGAAATCGGAAATAGAATGATTTTATTTTTAGATACCGATGTCCGATAATAGACTCTTCTATAAAATATGTGTGTTGGGTTGTTAGTAGTATTGTAATCTCGACTAATTTTATGGTTAGAAATTAGGGTGAAGCGGGGAATAAAATAATAGGCTAAAATCCACAAATTGAAAATGGAGTTTTACTGAGTTTTACCCTCAAATTTTATATTTTAATTAGAATAGTATCTGAATAGAATCCTAGATTAGATTCTAAATTTGTAGATCTAGATCTAGAATCTAATAAGCCTATAGTACTTAGATCTAATACTTAATAAAGTTAATACCTACTTTTTAGCTAGTTACATGTGAAGATTTAAACACTAACCTGCAAGGTCCCGCTAGTTACCGTAAGTTGAAAATATAAAATCACATTTCTATATGCCCTATTTTTTAAAATCTATACTAGATATGAGTTTTGATCATCTATATTGTTTAGCTATAATTAATAAATAAAATGTTTACCATGCAAAGATATAGATCTACTCAGTACTTTTCAATTTTAATAATGAATAACTGTGAATCATTAAAATCTATTTCAGGCATTTTTAGATTGTTTGTGGTAGTTTTGTGTAGATGGCGAGACCTATCAGCCGATAAAACATTCTTTTGTTATCGGAGCATTCACCTGTAGCAAGACGTAGGCTAGCCTAGGCTACACATTGACATAATAGTAATACAATGACACACAAAAACAAAAATGAATACGCCCTCAAGTGTAGAAAATAAAACAGCACTTTAGAATAAATCTGGTTATCTTTATACTTTATTTATAGCCTTTATTTCTGTTTGTTTGCTTTTTGTCACATTTGTGTGTGTGTTGTGTCAAATCTTGTAATTCAGTTTTAAATTAACTTTACTTGTTTGGCTATTCCTTATGCACCGATTTCGTTCACACTTTCTCTTTGTGGCTTTAGTAAATTCCCAAATAATTAGATCTAGGCCCTAATTTAATCTAATTAGTAATTAGACTAATGATTAGTCATTTAAATCTATTTAAAAGATTAGGCCTACTAACATTACATCAATAATAATATAAAAGACCCCGTGCGCACTTCTCTCTCTCTCTCTCTCTCTCTCTCTCTCTCTCTCTCTCTCTCTCTCTCTCTGTCTGTCCGCAAAATATTTTCGCCGGACATCACATCAGAAACTGCAGCGATATATGAAGAACTTTATACGGACTTTTGTTGAAAATAATGTTAGATATTTTAAATGTATAACCACAATTTTATTTAAAGAAGAAAAATAAAAAATAAAGGCGTATTCGAATGTAGAAAAACAATTTTAATTATGCAACCGGAAAAGTGTTTAAACTTGGGACAAGAACGCATTAACTGATGACGTCATCTTCCGAGTTTAGAATAAAAAGAAATGAACTATTTCATTCAAATATGATTTAGAGCTATGTACGCTATGAAATGTATACAATACGATTTTCTCGGCCTAAACTTTAAAAAAATTATTTCATCTATCTGGATTCTAGATCTAGAGATTCTAGATCATCTAGAATTCTAGATCTAGAGATTCTAGAATCTAGAGATTCTAGATCTAGAGATTCTAGATCTAGATGATCTAGATCTACGGAAAAACTAGACTTACACAGATGTAGACCCTACCTAGATCTATAATCTATTCAAATAATAAATTTCTATACTAGAGTATTTAAGGCCTTAATTACTTTATTGAAATCTGTGTTTATCTATGCAATTCGCTAATCTCTATAATATATAAAGCTAAGTTCTCGGGTGCCCGATAGGGCACTTCCCGGCGCCGCAGGCGCTTCAAATTTGGCAGGATCTTGCCTTGGGGCGACAGAACACGGGGTCCGGTTGGCCGAAAAGTCTACGATGAGGGGGTCAAAACTGACCTCGACTGACTAGCGCCTTATATGGGCGAATTAATTAAGCATTCAAATTCTCAATGTTTTCGAAAGCCTAAGCGAAGCTGGGCAGCATGCCTAGTCAATAATAAAAAATGGGATGACCACCAAATTAAGAAGGGGATGATAACTGGCTAATATTTTAGCGGGAGCCTATGCAATGTTAACTTTATTTAGAACGAATTATAAAAAGTAAAAAATAAACATGCTATTTTTAATAAAAAGCTTTGGTATCTAAAATTTAGAATATGTACAAGCTATCTTGGCCACCAAAGCTTTCATTTATTTTTTTCAGTGCATTTTATAGCTTATTATAAAGTTTTTATTTTTTTCCTTAGTTTTTGTCCAGAGAGCAAACTGAAAGGCGCCATCTGTTGGATGTAGGAGTTGTCTCTCCTAAATGGGTTGCTGTCCCCAGCTAACGAGCCTCATATGACCCGCGGGTCTTAACTCGGGAATTTGGGAGTAACTGCTCTTCAAAGACTAAGACATAAAATAATTCTGGTTTTCTCAACAGCGCTTGGAAGTTCACGTGACATTTAGCTGGACGAAGATTATTATTTAAATTTGAACGTTTTAGCATCTGTCTACCTATCTTCCTTTTATGCCTTCCGTCTATGAATTAAATTGGACTACGCATCGATTGCTATGTAAAAGCTAGTAGTATCTCGTCTTGATGTCATTACCTGAGTGGTCTACGTCTATTGTCCGGTGCTGTCCACACCCCTTTGTCCGGCACTGTCACACCCCTTTGTCCGGTGCTGTCCACACCCCTTTGTCCGGCACTGTCACACCCCTTTGTCCGGTGCTGTCCACACCCCTTTGTCCGGTGCCATTCACGCCCCTTGTGCTTATATACTAGCAATAATGACTTGCACAAGGTAGACAACAAACTACAACAAAACACAGCCGTTACCTGGCATACAAATTGTAACCATGTAAACATCGGTGCTCGTGTTGAATTAAATAGAAAGCCGGTACAGTAAAATGTAAAAATTTCGTACCTCTGCCGTGAGCGAGTGTTGAAGGAAACAGACATAGTGATCATGTACTTGATGTGGCATTACACCAGCCGCCTCTAAACTCCTGATCTTAGTGCATTACTTTAAACAGTTCAGTGACCTATGCACCTACTGAGTGGCGTAGCCAGGATTTGATCATATATATATATATATATATATATATATATATATATATATATATATATATATATATATATGTGTGTGTGTGTGTAATATATGGACAACTTTTTTTTACCCCCCCCCCCCTATGATCAAATCCTGGCTACGCCACTCAGTAGGTGCATATATATATATATATATATATATATATATATATATATATATATATATATATATATATATATATATATATATATATATATATCTAATATATAAAGCTCAATTCTGTAACGCATATGTTTGTCGTTGGCATTTCTACGGATTTAAGTGTTAGATCAATTATCGTGCGCGTTTGTCTAAATTTATGAGTTAAAAAATTACTATTAAAAGTGTTGGGAAATCATTTTCATTTTTCAAATTATAGTAATAATTGTCGGCATGTTCATTAAACACAAGTTTTAAAAAAATATCATCTTTTACAAAAATTCTAATTATGTTTTTATTTAGTCCTATAGCGCTTACTTCCCTTTGATAAATTAGGCAAAACACAATTACTTCCCTTTATGAAACCAGTGCATTAGTTGAAAAGCATTTACTTTTTAATTACTTTGTTTTGGTGTTGGGAAAAAAATAATTACATAATTAGCGGGGATTGATCAAGTGCAAATGTTTTAGGTATTTTACGGATAAGCTTGGAGTATTATAATTGTTCATTAAATTGAAACAGGCGCGTTCGTTTAAGTGAGTGCAAAAACTATGAATAAGTTGGGGTACTATAGTCGTTTATTAAGCTAAAACAGGCGATTCTGCCCCGGGCGTTTATGTTCGCGTTAGTGTTTTCTTTGTGTTTAGGTGGGTTTGCGTTAGTGGTTGCGTTTTGATTTGGTTCGTTTTTGTTCTTTCTTTTTTCGTTTTTGTTTTTTTTTGTTTGGGTTTGTATTTGTGTTTTTGGTTGGTTTTGCGTTTGGATTTGGTTTGTTTTCGTTTGCTTTTTCGTTGTTTTTTTTTTGGTATTGGTGTTTGTGGTTGGGTTTGTTGTTAGGTTTTTGTTTTCGTTTGTTTTTTCTTTGTGTTTGTATTGGTGTTTGTGGTTGTGGTTGGGTTTGTTGTTAGGTTTTTGTTTTCGTTTGTATTTGTAATTGTGTTAGCGTTATGTTTGCGTTTTGTTGTTTTGGTTGGTTGTGGTTTGGGTGGGCAATGCCGGGTTTATGATGATTACTAAACACACAGGTAATGGTCTTTAACGGAAAGGTTTTTCACAGAAGCCAGAGCAGGGCCTGGCCGGGACGGCTAGTATATATATATATATATATATATATATATGCGCTTATATAAACCGCTACCTCATGACGTGTTATGAAAAAAAAAATCATTAGTATACAACAAGCGCTCACCAAATAGACAGTTCATTCTTCATCACATATTTAAGGACTAGGTTTTTAATAGGGTTTTAGCCATTACGAAAAAATCAATACACCGCTGATTAGTATTGGAGGCACACATACACAACACATGATAGTGAATGACTCTTTATATTTGACTGTTAAATCTGTATACACGTTCACAGTGGCGGGGATATGGGGGGGGGGGGGGGGGGGGTTCTGCTAAAGTGGACTCGTAATGTCAGGGCGGGGGGTACGTCAAAAACCAGATGACCACCTACCTCTTGATATACTATGAAGAACTAGCATATAAAATATATTTAAATAGACCCACACGTTATGTTTACAAACATGTGTGTCGTCGGTGAGTGAAAGACGTGGTGCCAATAAAACTTCACCGTTGATTTTTGCTGCTACCAGTTTCTGGCATTAGACTTACGAAAACAGATGTGTTGAAACTGTTGGTAATATTGTAATATCAGATGTAGTGTGAGGATCAGAGTTTAGGGTTACTTTAGCTCGGTTTAGGGTTTGGGTTTGTTAGCTTGTAACATCAGTTTTAGTTAGAGCACAGTCAGAGCAGTGGCGGAACTAGAAAAAAAAGGCTCCCCCGCAAAAAAAATGTTTGGGCCCCCTTATATATATATATATATATATATATATATATATATATATATATATATATATATATATATATATATATATATATATAGTAGCCTGCTTCTCTAAATTTTAAATAGTCTATTACCTGAGTATTTTAATCTATTTCATTGCAATGTATAAACACTCTGAGATAAAGAACCAGACAACAGTAAGTCCGAACTCATTTCGGGCCCGCAATAATCGTGTTTTACAAATGTTTTTTTTTTTTTTTTTTTTTTTTTTATGAAAGTTAGGACAGTTGGTCAAAGTTATATAAACACGTAAGCTTGATTTGTGCAATGGTTTCTCGCGTTATGAT